GGAAACTAGTGTTGAAAGCTTTAGTCCACATTGGGTCATTCGTTGATATGTATCATGAGTCTGAGAAGGCACTGTGCTATATGGGTGCTGTTGTTGACAAGACTGTTTCATTGGTGTCTCGTGATGATTTTAATATGCCTTTTTCACTAAAACTGGAGGCGGTCTCTGAGATTGGTGCAAGTGGGCGAAATCATATGCTAAAAATTGTACACGGGATGGAAGAGGCAATAGTGGCCAAGTTATCTGATTATGTATGTTCAGCCTATAAATTATGTGTTTTTCATACTAAAACTATTCGTTTATAAATTCATGGAACACCCGCAGTCATGAAATTCTTGTCTCTTTATCTAATGACTCTTGTCTTTTTGCATTTTGTTTGCTTAGGTCCATGGAAATTTGAAGTCAGCTGAAAAAACAATTCAACTGTTGGAATGCTACTGTAATAAGATTCTTTCATGGTAAACTTTTCTACCCGAATGTTTCAATCTGTAAAGTTATGTCCAATTTGATAATTGTGATTGGTTATTGTTACTCTTTGGTTTTGACAACCATTGTGCCCTTGGAGTATGAGTTCAACAACCATTAGTTCAAAACCTAGCAAGTTTACAAATTTGCTATTCGTTGTTTCTTTGGGCCGTGATGCAGACGTCTAATTTTACTAGGGAATTCTAGATATTTGGAGAGTAATTCATATAATTTATTCTAGATATATGAAGAGTGATCTGCTCTTTTTCTTTTGGTAAACAAAAGAGCATACATAAGTATTTTTGGAAACTAGCATAATTAATGACTGCTTTGGAATGTGAAGATAATTAATGAAAGAAACTGGTATAAAAAGTGAAATCCCTTCTCTGATGATCAAACCATTTTCCATAATAAAATATAATTAACTTGTCAAGAAATTGCTAACGGTTGGTGATATCAAAAGTAATTTTCTAATAAGTTTCTTTTACCTGCTTTGTCGTGAAAAACCTGACAATATTGAGCCATCACACTAAATCTGTTAGTTATTTAAGGAGAATATTTAGAGCTACGCATTATATATATATATATATAATATTTCTTCGTTTTGGCCTTTACACTTGAGTAAACATTACCACTACAAGTAAACTACCACTCACTTCTTTATCTCATATATGTGTTCCTCTTCTATTAACACATAAAGTAATAAATAAGTTGAAGTTTCATACATAGGAGGGTATTGTGTTGCGTTCATGAGATTTTATTGCTAATTTGTGATCCCAGTGTAATGCGTTTTTCTTTCTTTTTCATTCCTTTTCTGTTGTTGATATGAATTTTTTGTTGAAATGGGCTCAGGATCAATGAAACAGGAGGTCTCGAGGAAGTTCTGTTGCGGTTTGTCATTAATATATGGAGTTGCGTTGAGAGTTGCAAAGATTTTAGCATTCAAGTCCAGGAAGAAGTGCGTAGAGTTTTTTTTATTTTATTTTATTTTTAAGTGAATATAATATATTATGATATCAATTCCCATTATTATGTTTAGTCCATATATTAGAAATATCTTTCAGCTCCTTCCCACATTGCTAACCCATAGTCAGTAATTGCTGAAAAGGATAGGTTATAATGCTACACATGAAACCCAATAATATTTATAATGCTACTTCAGGAACTACTTGATGCAACCATGATGGCAATGAAGCTTGCCATTGGGAGTTGTTCAGAAGAAAGCCAGAACATTATAATCCACAAGGCTTACAGTGTTATTTCATCAAGCATATCCATTCCATTTAAGGATTCCCTGGATGCCACCTCTTCCATTCAGCTTGAAGAATTGCGCGTTTCTGAACAGATAGACAAATCTTCTCATAGGGATGACCAGATAGATAAATTTTCTCGTAGAGATGAATGGATTCTTTCACTTTTTGCATCAGTAATCATAGCGGTGCGTCCAAAAGCGCAGATTGTGAATGTAAAAGGAATTTTGCATTTGTTTATGACAACCGTTCTTAAAGGTTGTGTTCCAGCAGCTCAGGCTTCGGGTTCTGTGATCAACAAATTGGGTACAAAATCCAATGAAACAGCAAATTCAAATGACTGTACCTTAGAAGAAGCAGTGGATATGATTTTTAGTACAAAATTATGGAATCTCAATGAAAATGGAGTTTTACAGACATGTGGATCAGGTAATGGCAGTAAAGTTGGTCTTACTGATTTATGCCTTGGCTTTTCGAGCAATAAACTGCTTCAAGTCCATGCCATTGTTGGACTAGCATGGATAGGGAAAGGTTTGCTTCTACTTGGTCATGAAAAAGTAAAAGATGTAACCAAAATTTTGTTGGAGTGCTTACTGTCTGAAGGCAGAATATGTGCCGTGGAGTTGAAGCAAGGTTTGTTAGAAAACAGTTACGAGCAGCACTCTGTGACGAGAAGTGCAGCAGATGCATTTCACATTATTATGAGTGATTCTGAAGTTTGTTTGAATCGAAAATTTCATGCCATAGCACGACCACTATACAAGCAGCGGTTTTTCTCTACAGTGATGCCTATTCTGCAGTCTTGGATAATAAAATCTGATTCATCAGTATGCAGGTACATACTCATTATATTACTTATTGCACCTGGCTGGAAGAAATCTTGTTGACTTTTTTAAAGCTTTACTCCCCAAATTACTGCCTTATTTCAGATCTATGCTGTTTCGGGCATCTGCGCACCTTATATCTAATGCTCCATTAATTGTTATCTTGAGTGAAGCCAAGAAGGTAATTAAAAATAACAAATTACATGTTTATGGCGCCATTTGAATATCTTGGAAACATTTGTTGACATTACCATAAATTTTTTGCAGCTTATGCCAGTACTGTTGGATGGATTGTCCCTGCTTAGTGAAGATATTCTGGATAAAGATAAGCTATATAGTCTTCTGCTAGTCCTTTCTGGAATATTGACGGATAAAAATGGTAATGCCAACTGTGTCAGTGCAGGTTGCATTTGTTTGTTTGTGTGCGCGTGTACATGTACCTTTTTGTGTATATAATATATATCTCTCTGCATGGACTAGCCAAATTAAATATGTAATTATGAATCTCTCCTGATATGTGACTGCTTCATTGCCTATGTTTCCCCAACTCTTAACCTAATTCTAGTGTTCATTTCCTTCTTGTTCATGCAGGACAAGTGGCTGTCATAGAGAATGCACACATTTTAGTTAATTGCCTCACCAGACTTGTTGACTACCCACATATGATGGTACCTAATCTTCTTTTTACCAACTTTGTTCTGTTGCTTACTTGCGCTCTTGAAAGTGCGGCCACGCCTTTTCTGTTTCAGTATTTCTTTCAGGCATCAATATTAACCATCATAAAATGTCAATTTCAGTTTGCCACCCCCTTTTCCTTCTTTATCCACAGTAGCCTTGGTACTGTGAATAAAGCCAGAATTGAAATTTATATGTTTTGGCTGATATATCTTTCTTTTACGTGTTCAGCTTGTCAGAGAGACTGCACTTCAATGTCTTCTTGCAACATCTGAGCTGCCATATGCAAGAATCTTTCCCATGAGAACACAGGTTAGTTGGTGTTTTATCATTAGTTCTCTTGGTGAGTGGATGATACAGAAGTTCTCCCAACTTATTGGGTCTGTCTGACATTGATGAAAATTAACTTTCTAGTTATAATTTGTGTGTGCGCATGTGTGTGCATGCTTGCATCTTATGCATAATCTTTATTCAGGTACTACAAGCAATATGTAAGGCTCTTGATGATCCAAAGAGGGCTGTTCGTCAGGAAGCTGTTAGGTGTAGGCGAGCATGGTTAGTGCTTTAAATCAATACTTTTGTAGCCTTAAATATATTTTTTACTCCTTTTGTAGTTTTATCCATTCACTAGCATGGCATCGACTCCATTTACAATGAGCAGGGCATCAATTGCGTAAAAGAAATCTTGATTCCTAAAGAAGGGTGCAGAGTTATAGAGTTTTCGCCAAGGCTAGCTTCACAAAGGGGCTGAAAATCAACTACTACAATTCCTGTTTCAAAAATAGATATTTTGTATCCAACTATATAAAGGAAGGCACAGATCCATGCAATACTTTCAGCTTCCACCATGTGGGATCGCTCTTATCAAGTGTTGCGTTTTGAGTGTTTGTAAATATTGGGAATACATGATGTAATTCTATTGGTAGCTAGGTGATTATCTGAACAGAATGCTTTACATTGGTTTATATAGCAGGGGCACTAAAGATGTGCTGTCATTTGGGAGTGAGACAAATTCCTCAGTTTTCTCTCTTTTTTTTTTCTTTTTTTTGAAGACTTTTCCTATTAAAAGGAGCGATACAAGTGTACTAAACTCATACACTAATGGATGCTAGGATTAGAACTCAGGACATTTCTTATGGGTAGCAATTTCTCCAAACCACAACACTTGTGGGTCCTCTGTAGTTTTCTTTCCATTATTATTTTAGCATTGACGAGCATTTAACTACATAGCAGCTAAAAGGTCTAATGTTTTGTGGATTCCTTACTTTGTCTCACTTTTTATTTTTTTATTTTTATTTTATTTTTTAAATCTATTTACTTCTCATCCTTCCTCAGATGCTACATTGATTATCTCATTTGCTGAAATCATGACCATTTCTATCAACAAATGGGTGTTCCACCTTACTTTGGACCAAGAAATAGCCTTTAATTTTCTTCCTTTTTCATGTCGAAAGTGTTGAAAAATAACCCAATTCGTTTTTTTGTATTTGTTTTTGATAAACAAGGGGGGTGAAAGGCCCAACACAAGAAGCTACAATATCAAAACCATCACTAACTCAACTTGTTTATTATTTGTGTTAATAAGCTCTCATTTTCGGGTTCAAAATTAATAAATCCAAATCAAGATTTTTCTCATTTTTCGGTTCATCACTCAACCGTGTCCTCCTGTTGTGTCAAGAATTGTCGCTTTTGCTGTTATTTTATAACCATGCAATGCAAGATGGACTGATTATGCTTATTGACATTTTCAGAATGTGCAATGATTCTGACAATTCACAAATTGATAGGGCGGTAGAAAACTAACCGTAAAGAATGGAATATATTCATAACAAAATCAATATTCACAAACTGACGTTGCAAGTAGAAAACTATTGCTGTTATTTTAGACATTCTAACATGTCTAACTTCTTTACAGGGTTTCTATTTCATCTTACCCTTATATGGTATCTAAGGAAAAATGTTTTCTGGCTAAAGATACAGGTAGATATTTGAGGTTCGAATGGACATCCCAACAAGAAGCGGCCAAATTAGTTCACACTCCTTTACATCAAAGCAGCATCCGATTGCAGTTTGTGAATAATCCCAAATTAGTTGACACGAGTCTACAAGCCTTCATGACAGTCAGCGACATTTACATCAACAGATAAATTAATCAGATAAATCATCTTCAGCACCACTATATTCATCAATATCTTGATGTCGTGCAATCTTCCGTGGTCTTTCAAGGGTATCCTCAACATCAAAGCGTCTTGTTTTCAAATTTGACACAGATCCCCTTGAATAATCCTGAAAGCAGCAAGCCAATTATGTGTATATGCAATTATTCAAATCATTTGATGACTAAAACTGGATACCAAAGGAATTTAAATTTCAACAAATAGCTTATCGCCGTACCCCTGAATCCTTTAGTTCAATTGCGGCAACAGTTGATCTTTGCCTGACGGTCACTCTTGAAGGTGCAGGAAAATGCTCAACCTCATCGCTAGTTTTTCCCTCTTTGGACCTCTTTTTTCTTAAGATAAGCTTTGTGGGAAGGGGCTGCATTGCGAATGGAAAAATTTATAAAGAAGGATAATCTTGATGAATTGTTCCTCAAAACAAAACCACAAAAAAGAAGCAAAGAGCAAATAATAAATGCACACGTAATAAAGATGAAAATATTAATTCAAGGGGATACCGCATAGCGTGCTTCTTCTTCATCAAATGAAACAAGGTATGTTGTGGGATCATGCACATCATCACCTCTTACCTGTTGAGACATCAAAAGGAATATCTTAAAATATGCAATCAAAAGCTAACTTAATAACTTCTCAAAACCATGGGGATGGTACATACATCGTAATGATACTCGCGAACCCAAGAATAAGAAACATCTTCAGATTCATCATACGGATCTTTTGATAGCTGCCACCATTGAAATAAATAATGTATGAGCCATGAGATCAGCCTATGAACTGTTAATGCTATCTTCTTCAGATTTAGAAGTCAAAACAAGTATGTCTACCTCATTTGGAGAAGGGACCATGTAAGCCAAAAATTTCTCCGGATTAGCTGGATCTGCGCCTGTTACCTTATAACTTTTCATAATGGCCTGTAGTAGATGATGATGGATGAGACAATAATGCACCAGTTGCCACTTAATAGGATAATGACAAAATATGAAAATATTCAAGTACAACAATGTCCAAAACGCAGACTAAGTTTGATGTAAATGAGAGTCTAAAAATCCATGACATATTAAAACTTCTGTGTCAGGCCAATGCATCTTTTGCACAAAATATTTACTGTAACTCAATATTTTTCTTCCAAAGCCAGGTCGTCAGACTGAAAAAATAAAGAAAAAGAAAACACGATATTTGGATATGAACAGAGTAGAAAGAAAGGAGTAGCATTATTGGCAGTGCCTTTTTGCCAATTCACATGAAAGATGGATTCGGATAAACTATAAGTAAAAAGCAAAAGAGCCGCTCAATCTACAGATACATCCAATTTGAGAGTAGAACGGCCAGGAAAAATTAACATAAAGAACATAGATAAGAAAGGTTCAACTTCATGTAAACAAAGGGATATATGTTGTGGGATGACATGATTACCTAATACAAAAGCAATTCTTTAAATTATTTTCCCAACCCAAATGAAAACTTGATTAGTAAATTGCAACAATTCAACACACACTTCAGGTAAAATTCAAGTAATCAAGGGATAAAGGCAACTCTTAGATTATTTCCCTCTAAATGAATAAGCACCATCTAACACACACTAACAGATAATGAAGGAATACTGCTTCAATTATGGGTACAGGTGGATACAGATTATTTTAGCTCTTTTGTTTGTTTTCCAAACCTTTCACCTAAATCAATTCATGCAATTTTGATGGTCGTCTATTAGTCTTTTGGATTCAATTCCAGTTCACTGTTTTGGGGCTTTTACTTGTTATTATAATGTGATGCAGACTGCAGAATCCTAGAAATGAAGATTTTCTTTAAATTGAAGGTTTGAGAATCTGATTTTATTTTACCCAAAAAAAATACAAAGAATCTAAATTTATGACCAGAACTGGTTGCATCCATCCCAACTCACTCTTGATTCATAAGCGTCATGACCGGACTGGTCCAATTTGCTGTAGATTTCTGAATCAGCAGTAGGAGCACCATCAAATGCTGCAAGGACAAATTGGTCTTCATACCTGTTACAAAACCATCATCAATAACAGCCCCAAGTTAATGTGTGAATATTCTAGAATGCAATATGATTGCCATAAATAAATGTTTTAGGTTTTCAATTAACCAGCCACCAGCCTAATTGGTCATCATTGACAAATATCTATAATCTGCATGCATGCATGCTCATGCATAAATATAAATGATTTTGATTTCAAAATGTCTGGAATCTGAAATAACAAGCTTTTCATGAGAGCTCAAGCTCGACTTCAACCACAAGCCATTGGCACTACGTATAATAAATTTACTAATTAAGATCAGCAAATAACGGGCTTGTGTGTGAAAGACTAAAGTAATAAATGTTTTTCTTATGTAAACAGAAAATCAGGTACTCCATACCGCTCAAAATCGGGCAACAGAGGTAGAACCTCAACAGGGTATAAATTCTTATTGGTTGCATGAACAGGGCGTGACTTGCAGGCCTCAAATGATGCCTCAATTTCCTTGATTTGTCTTTCCCTGAAAAATGATTCACGACAATTAATTGACATGAGTAATGGACATTGGTTTTACAATCACAAAGGTAGGTAGGCAAAGAGCAAACCTGTCATTAAGGTTGTTCAAAATGTTGCGACCTCCCTTCATTTCCCGCAGTTCTTTTGCTTGTTTTTCAGTTAAAGACTGCAGATGCCAATGCACGTACTTATAACATAGCTCACCAGTATATTTCAAGAAAGACTGCTCTTCTAAAATGGAGCATTAATCGACTACCTGTCTCGCAGAGTCCATGCTAAGAGGAGATATATATTGTGTTTTAACAAGCCATGCAACCCCTTTATCAGTAGGCCGCTCTTTTCTTCTGATGCCATTATTTTTCACAGGGGTTGCTGCTACGTCATCCCGCAATAATTCCTCATCTTCCAAAGCAAGGGGTGGTCTAACACTTGGAGGACTGATTGAACCAGGAAAAAAAAACAGATATTCAGTATTGTCATGCAATAAAAACTACTGACATCTTAAAAAGGTTAGGGCTGTAGAGTAATGATACTTGTATACACTGAGGTCAAGCAGGTCAAGAGGTATCCCAAGATCTGGCTCAACAAAAAGCTTGGGCTTGTATGTTTTCTCCAACGATGTTATTGTGTATTTTGTATATCTGGGAGAGGGAGGGAAGATTGCAAAAGTTACCACAAAATAATAATTAATTTGATTTTGGAATTTGATAATAAGATAACAAGGGATAATAATTCTACTCCTGATCATGTGTCATAAAGCCATTATTTCAACAATCAGATTTGATTTCCATAGTACGAGCTTCAACAAAAACCAAACAAGTATGCTGAGTTCCAGACTCTCAATCAAATTTATGCCATAGTAATGAGTGCTAAAACATGATAAAAACTCATCCCGGACTATCCTCTCTCCGCTCCTCCCCCAACCACCCCAAAAAAAAAAACATATAACACCTGACCTATGAAAGTCAATGTCCACCACCACACCAACATTTTCTGGATATTATCTTCTACATCAAGAACGACATGTGAACCTGCTCAGCTTGTTCATATTTTCTTGATCGCCCAACTTGATGCATGCAGTTTCAGGCTGTATCCAGTCCATAAATACTGATAGGTTTGCTGCTTCACCAGACTAACAAAGTTCATTTCTAGTCTTCCATATACCCCATAGGATAAACGCTATGTGGGTCATCAGTAAATCGTTCTTCCCTTGTTTGTTTCCATTTTCTTTTCCTTCCTCTTAAGCTTCTTCCCCCTTTGCACAGTTAACCCCCCCCCCCCCCCTCTCCTCCTCCTCCTCTTCCTCCTCCTCCTCCTCCTCCTCCTCCTCCCTCCCTCTTTTCTCTAATTTGTAGATAATAGTATCACAAAATTATCTCCATTAACTGCATCTTCCATATAAGTGCAGTAGAAATTCATCTTCTTTCCTAAACAATTTTCTACTTGCTCCGATTAATTCCTCCATCTGAAAACCACCCTGATGATTGCTTGCAACCATATGATGCCAATTACTCATTCTTACAACCTCAAAAGGTTACAAAGGTCCATGAACAAAAAACATGCATTGCACACACATATAAGCCTAAATGTACAAATGTTCAAAAGGTTGAGCAACAAAAGAGATCACTTACTGATCTTTGTCTTTCTTCAAAGACATGAGCTTTGGTTGTGCACTTGGATCTGGAAGTTCATTCCGAAATCTTCAAAGAGCATACAAGTTAGATTGGAGTCATTACTGACGTAAACAATGAAAGTACTTGACAAGCAGAGAGAAGAACACACACTATTTTTAACTAAATTTACATTGTTCTGTTTTGGCCTGAACTAAAAGAGCATTGGTTAGCCACACAGAATATATAAGATTCATCTCAAATGGTTTTTCACAATACGATAAACAAATAAAAGGCTGAATAAAAAAAATTTGGAGTCTTATCCAACTATTATTAGGTTCAGCGTACCACCAGTAGCTTTAGACGAGTTCAAAACATTGTGTATTGCTAAAATTGGATCATTGTGTTCTAATAAACATGACGAACTCTAGAAAGTACAAGTTAAACTTAAGCTGTAAGGGAATTAATAAAAAAACATATAATAAAACTGTTATTGATATATCATGTAGTCAGATTCCATCAAAACAGGAAAAGATTAATTTCAATTAAAGCAGAGCAAAATGTGTTCTTCAAACAAAGGTAAGTCATTGTTAACATACTCACTTCAACTTGCATACAAATGTGGTTGGCTTCTTCAGCCTATTTTCAGTCCTTTCGCTGCTCAAGAATGGAGTAGCCCTCCTTTCCCCCATTCGCGACCCTGCAATCGACCCATGTCCTTTCCCAGAAGACAACATCTGTGTCTTTTGCAAAACTGAATTTTGGGAATCCTTCAGCTGCTGCCTATGCTTCTCTTCTTGCCTTTGCTTCTCAAACTCCCTCTTCTTTCTCAATCTCCTCTCTTCCTCTGTCTCCACTCTCCCTGGAGGTCCATTCGCTTTCTTCACTGGCATTGAAGGAACAGGGGGCTTATGCTGTTTTTGAGCAACCCCATGATTCAGATGCCCATGTTCACGCCTCCCCGACACCGACACCTCCCTGGAAGCCCCTTTGTCATG